AGATCTACGCCACAGCCATGGCTGCCCAGGAGCTACGCTGGCTGACCTACCTGCTGACCGACTTGGGTGAGCGGCCTCGTTCTCCTCCAGTGCTTTACGTCGACAACCAGGCTGCCATTGCCTTGTGTGAGGAGCACAGACTGGAGCACAGAACGAAGCACATCGCCCTGCGGTACTTCCTTGCTCGAGAGCTGCAGCAGCGCGGTCAGCTTTGTCTGCGTTACGTGGCCACTGAGGCCAACCTTGCTGATGTGTTCACCAAGGCGCTTCCGCCTTGTGACCATCAGCGCTTCTGTACTCTGCTAGGCCTTGTGCCTACTGGACCTCACTTACTTACCTCTTGACCTTGCTTGTACTGTGATCACTATATATATATATCTACCTGCATGTTTACTCTTGCTAGGTTGTGATCACTGTATCTCTTGCTCTGTTATAAACCTGCATGTGAACTGGTCTTGTGACCACTAGCTTGTGCTCAGAATTTGTGTGGAATCCTTGAGATCCACCCTGAGCTTGTTGTTGCCTTTCTTAATTGTATATGTTATATTTGTGTAGGCTGTAGTGGGTTAGCCTATAGGGGGGTCACAACATTAGGGTTTCATATTTGTACTCACAGTCCTTTCTAGTTCATCATTCCAGTCTGTTGTTCCGACATGTATAACCGTGAACCCGGACAAGGAACATACAGTTATGTCATCACGTTCATAGACGCCGCCACACGCTACGTCTGGCACTTCAACCTTCCTAGCCGAGACATGGCCTTCGAGGCCTTCATCGCCTGGCTCCCAGCTGCGGAACGAGAGTCAGGAGTAAAGCTGAAAAGTTTCCAAACAGACGGGGGAGGAGAATATCAGTCACAGCGATTCAAGCAGTATTTGGCAGAACGAGGCATCAAAAGGCTCATCTCCCTCCCCTACGCCCATCAACAGCAAGGCGTGGCAGAAAGAATGAACAGGACCCTACAGAACACCATGCGCAAACTGCTACGTGGCATGCGGCTACCCACCCACCAGTGGCCTGAGGCGATGGACCACGCTGTCATGCTGCACAACTTGCTTTCTTCGTCGTCACTCCCGAACAACGCATCACCGCATCTGCTGTGGACAGGAAAATTGGGCAGCACAAAAATGTTACGGGTTTTCAGCTGCATGGTACAGTACCGACCCCCAGCTGCACGAGCTGGCCGATTCTCCCAACGCGCTCAGTGGGGGTTACATCTGGGCATCGAAAAGAACTACAACGCGTGGAAAATTTTCGACGTCCACTCAAAAGAAACAGTAGCAGCACGTGATGTCATTTTCTACGAACGACTCACGCTCACGACGTACCTTGCCAACCTGGAAGAAAACCGGGACCCCACAGGCGGATTCCGTGGAGACCGAGCCTTCGCCTCGGCAGCCGACGAAGCTGACCTGGACGAGCAGAACGTGGACGGAGCCTCGGAAGCAGCCGGACCTCTACCTTACTGTTCGGTTGATGTTCCCATGGACGACGAAAACCCTCGCGACAGCATCAACGCCGAAGTCTACTACGACTTTGCTGACACTGGTTACGTTACACCTGCAAGGGTCAACACCGACGAAGCAGAACGTATAGGGCCAAATTTCTTACCCGATCCAGAAGCGGGAGATGAAGCAGTCTATCCCGAGGACACAACACTCCCCCGCTACACACAGAGCGGCCTCCAGATCCTTGGCCTCGTCACCGCAGTTCAAGCCACGATGATTCCTACGCAGCCTGCCACCGTTCAGCAGGCTCGGGGGGGGGAGCCTAGGGAAAAATGGCGTGAAGCAATGGACAGGGAGTTAAAAGCACTGAAGGAACGCAACACCTGGAAGGTCGTTCCTATCGGCACGGCACAAAACAAAACAATTCTCACCGGGAAATGGGTCTTCCGTGTGGAGACTAAGGCAGACGGCACCATCGACAAGTTTAAGGCGCGCTGGGTCGTACGCGGCTTCGACCAAGAGCACGGACGGGACTTCACCGAGACATTCGCCCCGGTCAGCCGACACACCTCGCTGCGAATTCTCCTCACTATCGCCGCTATGAAGAAGAAGAAACTGCGCCAAATTGACGTCGCCAACGCATTTCTCTACGCACCTGTCGATGCAGAGATTTTCGTCGAACTACCACACGGGTCCAACAGAGAACCCAATCACGTCTGTCAGCTACTGAAGTCCCTGTACGGCATCAAACAGGCCCCGAGACTGTGGCACCAGTACCTACACACTCGACTCAATCGCATCGGATTCCGTCAGCTACCGCACGACCAAGGCATGTACCGGCTCACAAAGGGCGCCGACTACATCCTGTTGATCGTCTACGTAGACGGCCTACTCTACATCGGCTCGACCGACGACATCACCACCTGGTTCGAAGGGGAGCTGCAGAAAGACCTTACGCTCACTGTTTCGTCCACCGTCACGCAATACCTCGGCCTCAACATCCAAGAAGAAGAAAATGCGATCTGCCTCAGCGCCGTGAAATACGCCGAAACCATCGCTAAACGCTTCGCACTCACGCCGACTACCATCTCCACACCATACCGCTACACGGCAGGAAATCACAAGGAAGGATCTACTCCGCTAAAGCCCGCCGGCATACGCGACTACCAGAGAAAACTGGGTTGCCTTCTCTTCGCAGCCGTCACCTGCCGACCGGATCTATCCTACTCCGCAAGTCAGCTCGCCACCTACCTCAAGAAACCCGAAGCAGAACATATGGCAGAACTCGACCGCGCTCTTCACTACCTCGTCAGCACCCCGACGATTGGTCTGACTTACTACAAGAACGGAACAACAACGCCTAAACTAATCGGCTACGTCGACGCCGACCACGCCGGAGATTCTGACAACAGGCGCTCGCGCACAGGCTACATCTACCGCCTCGAACCTATCGGTCCTATCTCCTGGCAGTCGAGTAAGCAGGAACTTATTGACCTCTCCTCAGCTGAAGCAGAATATATCGCACTCTGCTCAGCCACCAAGGAAGGACTGTACCTTTGCGAATTACTGGAAGAAGCGAAGTTGGCTCAGTTACCCAACTTCTCCTTGTTCTGCGACAACCAGTCGGCGATTCGCATAGCAAACAAGAGCGGATTCGCGAACAGAACGAAACATATCGCCCTGCGATATTTCTTCGTGAAAGACGAGATCGAGAAAGGGAGACTCGAGCTGTCATACTGCCCCACGTCCGAGATGGCAGCCGATTACTTGACCAAGAAGCTCGGAAAGCAGAAGTTCGAGTACTGCATGCTGCTGACTGGACAGAGCCACGTCACCAACAGCGACACTCCAGAAGCGAAGGGGAGTGTTGGAAACAATGACTTAAGCGCCTCTGTCGTGTCGAAACAGTAAACACAAACGGAGCAAGCAATAGCACAGAAACGACGAGTCAACCATCGGAGGTTGACAAGAAATGGTAACCGCTGGAGGTTACGCGAAGGTCAAAGGTCACGCGACCTTTGACTCGACAAGTACAGTGCGACAGCAAGGACAAACAACTGACTCGTTATTGAGCAGTTGCCCGAGTCGTCACTATATCGAACCGCAACAGCAACAGCAAAACCGTTATTATGTCTCCTTGTATTCTCTGTATCCTTATAAAAAGCCTTGTATCTCCTTACTTTAATTCAATCTACTTTGCCCTCACATACCAGCGCAAGGAGGTTCAACAACTTTCATTAAACGCTTCCGCTATTACATCATTCCTACCAGGAGTTTAGTCCTGTAAAAGATCCTAAGGGCTTTTTCAGCCCAACAATAACAAGGCGATGATTCTCCTGTGTCGAGAGCCTCGACTGGAGAGCAGAGTGAAGCACATCGACGTCAGGTACTTCCTCCTTCGAGAGTTGCAGAGACGCGGACAGGCTCGTCTGGACTTTGTGGCCTCAGAGGCCAACACTGCAGACATCTTCACCAAGGCTCTTCAGCCTTGTGACCACCGCCGGTTTTGTCTGCAGTTAGGCCTCGTTGAGACTGGGTCTAGTAGACTGCAGTAGTGAGTTCTTGCCTCTTGTTTGTTTGTACCATATATATTTGCTTATACCGTATTCCCCCGGATAAAACACCCACCCCGAATTGTACACCCCCGGGTAGCTTGTGCGGGGGGGGTGTTATATTTGACCCCGTTGGTACTATACCCCCCCTTTTGGGGTGATCCTCTTTTACACCCCCCTTTTCTTACGAAACCCTATTATAGCTGTTATCGAGTCAGATTTTTTACGGGAGGATATGACGAAAATCGCTCCCTGAATGAAATTTCGCGTGCACTTTCACTTCGAATCTACCGAGATTCCCTCCCTCCCACAATCTCGCTGTCGCCACGCTGGCGAATCTTCCGCTGCACGTGGCCCGAGAGGTGAAACTCACATTCTCGCCAAAACTCGAATTCTCGCCTCAACCTGTGATGTTATAACGACTATTGAAACACCCAAATTGTCTAATTATTTTTTTTTTCTTACACTAAAAAGTGCCATATATAACCACCCGGGTATTATATATTTTTTTCCGTTGAGGAGACCCCCCCCCATTTTTTCCCAGTGGTTATCATAATACCCCCGGGTGTTTTATCCGGGGGAATACGATACACTCTTGAACTGGCCTTGTGGCCGTTGTTAGTGCTCAGACTGTGTGGTGACGTTGTGATCCACCCTGAGCTTTGTTTTCTCTCTTGCTTGTGACTGGTCTTGTGACCTTAGGTTGCTTGTTGTTGGTTGGCACTCCCCACTTAGGCTATGGGGGTGTGTCAAATGTTATAGCCTCTAGTGGGTTATACTGTATGGGGTACAAACAGTTAGGGTTAGGCATTTGTATCCCAACCCAATCAATGCAAGTCGTTTCCGCTGTAGTTAGTTTCTGAGACTAACCTCCAACACGTACCTAATACGGCTAGCTTCTAAGCTACCAGCAACCGTCACCTGCATACCTCACCTGCCGCACGCGAGTGACACATGGCTCTGTGGCACTCACGCACGTGACGTGCCTACCACACCCCTCCTACATGGCATCACTGCTGCTTGGCTTGTGGCTGGTCAAAACTGGACAAGTGATAGACCTGTCACAGAGGTACCGCAGCCAACTGTCAGCAAAAGCACAACCCAGTGAGCGAGTGAGAGAGTCAGTGAGGGGGGGCAAGCGAGGAGCGGAGTCAGCAGAGGACGGGTCGAGGTATGGCGGCCACTGCGGGTGATCGAGGCGCAGGGGCGACCCCAGGTAGTACGACGAGTCCTCACTGCCTGACTGCGCTGGCATCGCTGCTCCCTGCTCCTGCTGCTGCTCCTGCTGCTGCTCCTGCTGCCGCCCTTCCGTATCCTCCCCACCCCCCCTCTCGTCCTCCCGCTCACCCTGTCCCACGCCATCACTGCTCGAGCCTGAAAGAATCGCTTGCGGGGAGTCAGGTTGAGGGGAGTGGGAAGGTTGAGGGGAGTGCATTGGTGGTTGAGAAGCAGGTGCTTGAGGGGAGTGCCCTGCTTCTCGCCTCACACCACGCCTGCTGCGCTCTCCACTCCCACCACCTGCTGCTGCTCGTCTTGTCCCTCTCGTGCTGGATGCTCGCTTGTTACCCTCCTCCTCACCTGCTGCCGTTTCTGCTGCGCTTGCCTCGCCTCTGCCTCTCCCACCACCCCGTCCTCCCACACTCCTCTCACCCATCTCCTTCCCCTTCCTCTCCACTCCAGTAATAGCGGCATTCCGTCGCGCTCCTCTCACTGCGCCTCTCCCTGGCCTCTCCTCCTCTACGCTCTCCATCCCTCCGCCCCTCTCCCGCAGCAGCATCTCTTCCTGAGCCTTCCTGGCCCGCAAACTCGCCTCCCTCCTCGGCCTTCCCGTCTCAACTCTCCGCTCCTCCTGCTTCTCATCCTCTCCTCCCGCCCCACCAGTACCCGCCCCTCCACCTCCCCCTCTCCGTTTCTCCCCACCTGCCTTAGCCCATACCTCTTTCCCCTTCTTCCCCCTCTGCGCCGGCTCAGCATCCACTGTTCCATTGCCCCACCTCTCCTGCCTGCGAGTCGTCCTTCTCCCTGCAAGCCCCTCCTCCCCACCTCGCCCTTCCATCTCCTCCTCCTCCTTCTCCTTCTCTTCCTTCTCCTGCCTCTCCTGCCTCCTGCTCCGACCACCACCCACCCTCTTCCCACCGCCACCTGCTCCAACCACGTGCTGCCTTCCTCCCGAACCACCAACCCCTCCACCCGAGCCTGCCTCCAAGCCTGTCGGCAACCCTGCCCGAGCCTCGGACTTCACCACAGCAGCAGCTGCGGAGCCTCGGGCAGGCAGGGCATGTGCATGTGCATGTGCATGTGCATGTGCGGGGTGCAGGGAGCGCGGCCGCTTGCGCGGTGGCGGGCGGGAGGGAGAGGGTACACTCACGGTTGCTGGTGACGGCGGGCGTGCAGGGCTGTTATGCCCGTCACCTCCGCCTTCCTCACTGCTGCTGCGCCTGTCGTCACTGTCGTGACTCTCATCACTATCATCGTCACTGTGATCCTTGTCAGAACCATTGGCAGGAGCAGCAGCAGCAGCAGCACCGAGGGCACCAAGTTCAGAGACTGAGTCCGAGTCAACACCAGAATGCACAACCGGTGCAGTGCTGCACCTCCCACTGCCACCAGCAGCAGCTGCCCTCTTCCTGAAAGAAGGGGGCTTGGCAGCAGTGAAGCAAGCTGCAGGTACGGGTGGGTTGATGGACGCAGGCAGTCGCACAGTGGCTGCTGCTGCACTGCCTTCCTCCTTGCTCGCCTGCACAACCAAGTGCCATGCAGTGGGATGCGGTGCAATGCAGTTCAGTACAGTGCAGTGCAATGAGGTTGTGCCCTTACTAGTTGAAGATGAGTTAGAATGTGAGCAATCCACAGCAAACACAAGAGGCGGACACACTCGAGCCAAGCAGGCAGACGTGTGGAAAACGCCCTCGCCCGCCATAGGCCGGCCTTGCACCATCCACCCTTCTGCCCGCCTCACCTGCTTCTGTCGAGACATTGATGCTCTGCCCTTCTGCTGCCCCCGCTGCTCCTGCCCCTCCTCCCTCGTCCCCTCCCCATCATCCTCCCCCTCCTCTTCCTTCACCCCCTCCTCTTCCTTCACCCCCTCCCCCTCCTCCACCGCCTCCTCCTGCTCCCGTCCCACGCGTCGCACGGCACCTCTGCAGCGGGCCGACAGCGACCGCTGCACACGCCTGCTCGCCCCGCCACTCATGCGCGCTGCCCTCGCTCCTGGTGATACCATCTGTTGCTTCGCCCCCTCCTCTGCCTTTACTCCGTGCCTCACTCCCGCATCTCTGCTTTCCCTCTTCACATCCCGCTTCTTCGCCTTCCCCTCCTTCTCCCCCTGCCCCTCCTCTGTGCCTTGTGTGCCAGTCTCGTCCTTCACACCCCCCTCGCCCGCACCCATTCGTCTCTTCTTCACGTGGCGTCGCAGCCCCTTGGTCCGCACTTGAAGCTTCACCTGCAAATCCTCCTCCTCCTCCTCCTCCTCCTCATCCTCTTCTTGCTTCTGCTCCTCTTCCTCCTCTTCTTCCTCCTCCTCCTCTGCCTCCTCAACCACCTCCTTTCGTTTTCGTTTCCCACCACGCACCTTCACCCCAACTTTCTTCTTCACCCTCAATGATCGCTCATTCTCGTTCCGCCCTATCCTACCCAACCCCCTCCCGTCCCCTCTTTCACCCACCCCTCTGCCCCAACCCCCCTTCTTACCCCTCCCGCCCTTTATTCTCCCCTCCTCTCGCATTCTCCCTCTCCCTTTCTCCTTCACCTTCCCCTCCCGCTTCTCCCTCTCCTCCTTTCCCTTAGCCCGCTCCCTCTCCTGCGTGCGCCGCACCACCTCCCTCGCCTCCCACTCCTCCCAGTCAACCATCCCCTCCACCGCCTCCTCTCCCCTCGCCGCCTCCACCTGCTGCCACCACACCCCCTCCAGCCGCCTTGCTTCATCAGGCACCCACCACCCCACCTCACCACCAAGCCCTGCCTCGCTCCCTCTCTCATCCGCGCCCCCAATCCCCCCATCCCCGCGCCTGTCCCCCAGCACAGCAGCCTCCAGGGCGGCCAATCGCAGAGCGACAGCAGCGCACGTGAGGGGCACACATGGCAGCGGCATAGCAAGGGAAGGGAGGACCCGTGTCCTCCGCTTTGCTAGAGGCTGCTGGCCATCCCTACCACCCCCCTCGCTGCCATTCCCCCCTCGCCCCCCCTCCTTGCACAAGTCCGTCCGACCCTCTCCTGTGGATTCGCCCTCCTGCCTCCCACCGCCTGCACCTGCAGCGCTCTGCCCCCAGTCCGGCTGCCCAACAGCAACAGGAACTGCCTGCTCTGGCGGACACCTTGCCTCCTCTCCTCTTGTCCTCTCCCCCCCTTCGCCACCAGCACCACCCATTCGCCTTGCCTCCTCATCACCACCCCTCCAACCTTTACCCTCCGCAGTGCTCACTCTATCCTCCCTGGCGCTCTCCCCTCCACCCTCCCTCTCGCCCCCCTCTTCGCCCCTCTCCCAACCGCTCCCCGAAGCTTGAGCCGCCGGGTCACCTCGCCTGCCTCGCATCCTGAGAGCCAATCGCAGGGCGACATCTGGCGCGGGGCTGAAGGAGCCATGGATGAAGCTGGAGGGAATGGCGGCCTCCAGCTGGCATAGCAGCTGCCAGGGGGGAGCCGGGGGGGGGGGGAAAGAGAGGAAGCAAGAGGGGGGGGAAGCAGAGGGATTTGGAAGGGAAGTAAAGCAGTGAAGGGGAAAAGAGAAATGTGCAGCAAGAGAGTCCCATAACTGCTGCCATAGCCCCCATATATGGTGTCATGCAGGCACACAAGCATTATGTGCCTGCTGCCATGCATGTCACATGCACAAGACCCATACCTGCAGCAGGTGAGCAGCATGGCACGCCATGTGCACTGCTGCACGCCACATGCGCCTGCTCTCCTCCGTCCACTCCGATGCCAGCTTGCCCCCCGCCTCCAATGCCACCTGCCGAGTACATGGCATGGGTTTGATGTGCATGTGCATGGGTATGGACCGTATGGATATGGGCATGGCATGGCATGGACAATGCAAAGGAACGTGCATACGCATGGCAAAATCATTATCACGGCATGGGTGTTACCATGGTATAGGAATGGCAGAATCCCTACACGCCCCACATGCCCCGCATGCCCCACATGCCCCACACGCCCCACATGCCCCACACGCCCCACAGCACACCTGGGCAGCCAGCAGCGAGTGCTGGAGGCGCCGCACACGGGGGGGGATGACCGCTCCACAGCCCTGCTCCCTGCCCGCCTCCCCCGCTCCTGCAGCCTCACTCCCCGCCCCTGCTGTGCCGTGCTGCACTGCTCGGTTGGACTCCGCAGCTGCTGCCACCACATGTGCACCCGCTAAGGCCACAGCAGCACCTGGTGCCTCTGCTGATGCATCCCTGCTGTCAGCACCCAGAGAACTACATTGTGCTGCTGCCACGTCAGCACCGGCAGTCACATCGCGATCCACTGCTGCCTCGCATTCACTCATCTCTAACCCCTCTCCCTCCCCATCCTCCGCTATCCTGCCGCCCCTCACCACCTCGCCACCACCCCTGCTCTGTTGGTGCTCCCTCTCCTCCTTCCCTTTCCCCCTCTCATCCTGCTCCCTGCCTCCCATTCCACCCTCTCCCCTTCCCACCGCACTGCACCTCTCTCCACCACATACCATCGACCCAATACCACCCCGCCCACCCCACAACCCGGCCTCCGCATCCCCAATGGATCGAAGCAGCCAAGAAGCTTCAAGCAGGAAAGCGGGAGAAGGTGAGGGCAGGGGTGCAGCAGGAGGGGCGACCCTTAGGAGGTCCGTGGGTTGACCAAGTGGGGAGAGAGCAGCGCCCTGCATGGGCTCACATGCACGCCCGGATTGCCATGCTGCCGTGGCGCCACCTTCACTTGCCTGGCCGGGTCGAGTACAGGGAGCAGCAGGAGCGTGGGGAGGGAGGGGCACAGGGTGCGTGGCATCTGCTGCACCTCCCACTGCTGCCGCCGGCATCACGGCCCCCTCCCCCTTTGTGACACCCACAGGTGGTTCAAGCGGCACGCAGCGGGTTTCAGAGGGGGTGGCCAGTGCTTCGGGTGGAGTGGCAGGTGCGTTGGGTGGCATGGCAGGTGAGGGTGGTGGCACAGCCGAGATGAGCGGTGGAGGAGGCGTATGAGGCGCACTAGCTGAGGCTGTGGGGGTTACAGTGGTGGTGGCAGCTGGTGTGGTGGTGATGGCACTGGCAGTCAGTGCAGTGGTGGTGGAGGGTATAGCAGCGGTGCAGAGCAGTGGAGTGAGGGAGGAGAGGTGGTGGCGCAGGTTGGAGAGCAGCGCGGACTCCCTCACCCCGCGCGGGTACAGCACCGCCTTGAGATGCGCCAGGGACTACACACATATGGGGGGGATGATGAGGGGGAGATGGGGAGAAGAGGAGGGGAGGGAAACATGGGTGAAATGGCCTAGCCTGTGAATGTCGGGGAGCGGTGAGGGAAAGAGGGTGAGTGGATGGGTCGGTGAAGCATGGGCTTGGGACGAAAGGAGTTACACTGAATGGTGGTGGGCGCTGGAACAAGGAACCCTAAGCTGACCCCTCAGGTGCTACATAACCATTTTGCGCGCCTTCCATACAACCCACTGCTGCTCGCACCTGGGCATCTCCAATGGCGCTCCACTGCCCCTCCGCTGACAGCACGTACACCCCCACCATCGCCTGCTCCCCTCCCCTGCCACCACCACCATCACTACCACCACTTTCTCCTCCTCGCCTCCCATCGTCCCCTTCTTTCCTTCCCCCACCTCCTCGCCAGCGGCACACCTCGCGCCCAGGGAGCACAGCAGCAGCAGCAGCGGAGGCGGAGGCGGAGGGGGGGAGGCGGTGGAAGCACCAGTAGGAGTGGGCGCGGCGGTCGCAGCCCAGAGGCGCGTGGCGGATGCTGTAGCTCGCCTCTGCAAACTCCACCCCGCCTGGCCCCGCCACTGCAGGCGCTGCCGGTGCAGCCGGTGCAGCTGGTGCAGCTGGAGAAGCATCAGCAGCAGGAGGAGAAGTAGCAGCAGGTGCAGCAGGAGCAGCAGTAACTGTAGCAGCGACAGATGCAGGAGCAGCAGGAGGAGGAGGGGAGGCAGGAGGAGGAGAGGCTGGAGCAGAAGGAGAAGCAGGAGCAGCAATAGCAGGAGGGGGAAGAGTGGCTGTGGTAGCAACAGTAGCGGCAGGAGCAGCAGTAGCTTCAGGAGCAGCAGGAGTAGCAGCAGTAGCAGCGATCGCAGCAGGGGCAGCAGTAGCAGCAGGAGACGAAGTAGCAGCAGGGGCAGCAGTAGTTGTAGTAGCAGGAGCAGCAGCAGGAGCAGCAGGAGCAGCAGGAGCAGCAGCAACAGAAGTGGCATCAGCAGTAGTAGCAGGAGCGGCAGTAGCAGCAGGAGAAGAAGCAGCAGCAGCAGAGGGAGCAGGTGCCGCACTTGCACTGGGAGGAGGCGCAGCAGGGAGAGGCGTATTGGGAAGAACAGCTGTGGTGGCAGAGGGAGGAGCTTCCGAAACAGCTCCTGCAAGAGAGCCAGAAGCAACGGCATCTGCAGCAGCATCTGCAGCAGCAGTTGCTGCAGAGCCATCCTGTCTACCAGCAGCAACAGGAGTGACAGTGGCAGCAGCAGCAGAAGCAACGGTATCAGCAGGAGCAGCAACAGCAGGAGAATCAAGAGACATTGGAACCACTCCCTCCTCCGCCAACTGCTTCTCTGCCTCAGACCCACTTTTCTCCTCCCCCTCCGCCGTTGCATCATGCATTGTCTCTTCCTGTGTCCTCTCCTTCTCCCTTCCTTCCACCTGTTCCTTCCTCTCCGCTGTGCCCTCCTGCTCCATCTGCTCCTCCCTGCTGCACCCCTTCACTCCCTCCACCTCCACACAGCCATCCGTCCTCCTTTCCACCGCCTCTTCCCCATGCACCCGCCCCTCACATTCCTCTGCCGCCTTCACTTCTTGCTTCACTGCTTGCTCCTCTGCCCCCCACTTCCCCGCCTCCCTCTCCTCAGCCTTTTGGGGCACCTCAGAAGCTCTTCCCTCCGCGTCTTGAGGAGCCGCAGAAGCCCTGTGCTGCACTCTCTCATCCCTGCTCCTTGCCATTGTTGCTTCTTCTCCTCCACTCTTTCCTTGCCACTCTTCCTCCACACTCCTTCCACTCTCCTCTTCCTCCTCTCTCTTTACTGGCTTCCCCTCCTCCCTCACATCCCCTCTCGCCCCACCATCATCGCTCTCTCTCATCTCTGACAGCGACCCCTGTGCAGCCGACAGGGGTGGGGGCAGCAGCAGAGGGGCCTGTGAGGGCGACGCCTGCTGCTGCGCTCCCACCGGGTGGTCCCCAGCGGGTGCTGCAGCAGCTTCAGTGGGGGGGGACGACGTAGTGGGCGCTCCAGCTGCTGCTGCACCACCATCGCCACCAGCAGGCGTAGCAGCAGCACCAGCGCCAGCATCAGCAGCAGCACTAGGTGCAGCGTCACCAGCAGGAAGAGCAGCAGCGTGGGGAGAGCGGCGGAGCGGCAGGGAGGAGGGGGCCAGGGAAGGGGGCCGCCAGGCGCCCTTCCTGCGGTGCAGCGACGCCTCCACCCACCGCTGCCGGCGGTATGACGACTGCACCTCGTACCGCGCCTGGTGCGATGGACACGGGGGAGGAGGGGAGAAAGAGGAGGTTGGCACACAGGAGTGGGGCTAGCAGGGAAGATATAGAAGCGATGGGTGGAGTGCACCTTGGTCTTGGTCTATGCAGCAGGGAAGTAGGGGGAGGTAGCATTGAGAAGAGGGGAGGAGAGAGAGCGCACCTCAATGGCAGCGCGGATGGTGGAGGAGTCGTTGACTGCGTTGACCAGGTCAACGAGCAGGTGAAGGCGCTCCTCCACACTGAGCTCGCTGTACTCCGCCCCTCCCAGCGCCGCCATCCACGCCCTCCCCTGCCCTGCCTCTCCCTCCCCGCCCTCCCCCCCTCCTCTGCGTCCTCCTCTCCAACCCCCTCCTCATCAGACTCCCACTCCCACTCGCTGCCATCATCACCACCCTCCTCAGCCGCGTCCTGCTGCTGCCTGTCATCCCCACCCTGCCCGTGCACCACCTCCAACTCCTCAAGTGACTCTTCACTCTTCACCTCGCCCTCGGCCCGCCCATGCGCTCCCTCCATCCCATCCACCGCCCTCACCTCCGCCTTCCCTTCCTCCCGCACATCGCCCCTCGCCGCCACACTGCCTGCCACGCCCATCGCCTCATCATGCACCGTGCTATCGAGAGTGGCACCCTGGCGGCTCAATGCGGGCGCGGATGCGTCCTCTGCATGAGTCGCCTCCGTGGCGTGTGTGAATGGAATGGCTTCACCCTTGGAACACGGGCTACTGGCCATGCGGCCCGGAACCAGCACGCCAGTCTCACTCGCAACCAGCACGCCATTCTCACTCGCACCCAGCACGCCATGCTCACTCGCACCCAGCACGCCATGCTCACTCGCACCCACGGCCAGTGCATGACTCACCACAGGCGCTCCACCATTCACATCTTCGCCCACCAACCCCGCCACTGCAGCACCGCCTTCTCTCCGCTCCTGTGCCATTCCCTCATCACCCTCACCACCGTCAATGCGCTCCCTGCCCTCATCACCCTCACCCGCCCCATCCCCCCCATCGGTTGCACCCCCCTGCCCATCCACGTCCATGTGCTCGCCCTGCCCTTGCCCACCACTCTGCCACCTTCCCTCCTCTGCCCCACCACCCTCTTCTGCGGCCTCCCTTCCTCCCCCACTCTCCTCCTCACCTACACACCCTCCTCCTTCTCACCCTCCACCTCCTTCTCACCCTCCACCTCCTTCTCACCCTCCACCTCCTTCTCACCCTCCACCTCCTTCTCACCCTCCACCTCCTTCTCACCCTCCACCTCCTTCTCACCCTCCACCTCCTTCTCACCCTCCACCTCCTTCTCACCCTCCACCTCCTTCTCACCCTCCACCTCCTTCTCACCCTCACCACCCACCTCCTTTCCATCCTCTCCCTCCTCTCCCTCCACCTCTCTCTCGTCTCCCTCCTCCTCTCCCTCCTCTCTCTCCTCCTCCCCCCTCCTCCCCTCAGCCGCGCGTCTCACCAGCTCCACAGCCTCTCTCAGCCCCTCCTCCCGCTCGCCCTCGCTGCGCCTGTACGCCCCGCGCACGCAGTAGGTGCAGCTCGCCACGCGCTGGAACAGCGGGTCTCTCGCCAGCGCGCCAGTAATGGTGGCCTCGGGGGTGCGGCTGCCAGACAGGTCTCGCAGCCCGCACTGCTGGATGCGCTGTGCCAGCAGAGTCACGGGCAGCCCAGCAGCGCCCTCGTACGCCAGCACGTGGAACGCCGCGAACTTGACTGTGCCGGGCGCCAGCCGTGCCACCATGCGCGGCACTGGAGAGACGCGAGGGCTGCTGCTGTTGCCTGGCGGGGTCTTCGGAGGAGGAGACGCAATGGCAGGGGTAAGTGCGTTCGTGTCGATAGCAGCAGCGCCATCACTGCCTTTGATGTCCTCTCCCGCGTCCCCCGCCTCTGCTCCTCTCCCTGCCCCTACCCTTGCCCCTGCCGCCTGTCGCCCCTGCTTACTATCGTCCCCTTCCTCCCCCTGCTCCTCCTCATCGTCACTGAAGCGGCCCCCACCAGCAGCAAGGTATGCGAGGTATTGTGCATGCAGCTGCCGCCGCTGCTCCTCCCGCCACGCCTGCTGCTCCTCAAACGCCCGCTGTGCCGCCACGTCAGCCGCCTTGCCTGATGCCAGATCAGCAACGAGTGCTTCTTGGTCAGCAGCCTGCAGTGGCATGGGAGAAAGTAGTGGTGTGGAAGAATAATTTATCAATGTGAGTGTGAAGCCAACCCAGTGCGCCTTCTCAAGTTGTTTTCATGACAGACTAATCATGCGCAGCACACCAGCAAAGCACAACCAGTCGTGCTGCTGCTTCAGTCTCCTGCGTGCGTTACACACATGTGATATACATCACAGTCACACACACACACACACACACTCGCTCAACCATGCACATACTCACACAGTGGCACTCATGCACACACCCTTGCACACACCTACATATCTGTGCCACCACCCCGCCCCCCTCTCACCTCGTCACCACTATCATCGCTGTCACCGTGCTGCACACCTCCACCCACACCAAACCCCGCGGCACCACCCAGGCCCTGCACGGCCGCTCTACCTGGGGGCTTGGAGTGAGCCTGCAACACGAATACGAGGCACAATACAGAATACATAACACTATATTTGTATACGAGCATGTTTCAAGTACTGTCTAAAATTGTATTTGGTCTAAACTTCGCTCATAGAAACAAGCCATGGGTATACATAAAATACGCACCATGTAAGTCGAACAGTTTACTCTCCTATCTGAGCTTAGGCCCCCACCTGCACACAGCCGTGTTTGTTTTTCTGTTGAATGAATGAAATACTCTTGAGCTAGTAGCTTGTCTTTCTCAAAACCGCTTCCCTCTCTCTGTGATTTCAGTTGGGTGCGTTCCCTGATGGAACAGCGTTACTGCGTGCCCCGTGCCGTGCCGTGTGACTAGAGCTCATAACCAAGGATCACTGCCCACAGGCTTACTCTGGAGCGCGGTCGGCGGCGGGGAGTGGGGCGGGGAGGGCCCCAGGCGGCAGCGAGGGCGTACTGGCGCAGCACCTCAGGCCACGTGAGTGGTCCCAGCAAGGAGCGCCATAGGCTTGGCGTGAAGCCCCACTCACGCGCCTGCGAGGGATGACAGGGATGGTGGACGCACGGGAGGGTGTGGCAGTGCAGGAGCGTGTGGTACAAGGGAGTGAGGAGTGCTGTGCGATACAAGTGGATCTCGGAGGGAGAGTGGCAGGAGGTGGAGTGACGGGTGGCGAATGGAAGCACCCAAGTGAACACATCTCGTCCTTCACTGCACCTTGTGTTCCCGCTACTTTTCCCACCTGCGACACCGTTACATGGTTACAGTGCTATAGCAGCCCCCCCTCACCTCAGCCACGACAGCAGCAGCGGAGTGCAGCACGAGCGCCCTGGCAGTGTCCGACCCGCCCACTGCTGCTGCCAATGCCTCCGCCACCGCTGCTGCCACGCCCGCTGTCCGCGCTGCTCCCCCCTCTGCTTTATCTGCTCCCCCCTCTGCTTTATCTGCTCCCCCCTCTGCTTTTTCTGCTTCCCCCTCTGCTTTATCTGCTCCCCTGTCGCCAAATGCAGCTACATCTACGCCCATGCGCGCATCTGTGCCTTTGTTGGGTCCATGCAAGGCGTTCAAGTGGATAGCACTACTAGGGTGAGCAGTGGAGATACGGTTAAGGTTAGGGTGAAGAGACTTGGGGCTGGCTGTATGGTGCCTTGCGGTACTGGGAGCTGCACGACTGCTAGGGGGCGGCACGGTGGGGGGCGTGTGTACAGTTGCTGCTGGAGCTGGTGGTGGTGCTGCTGCAGTTGCGATGGCTGGCGCGGTGTCGACGAGGAGTACTCGCATGAGCGAGAGATGAATCTCCGTCAGTAGGCGCGACTCCTGATGGTGCCATGGGCGCGATGAGAGAGGAGACGTGAGTGGAGTGGAGAATGGCAGACGAGGGATGGGATCGGAAGGAGCAGAAAAGGGAGGGCATGGGGGATGCGGGGCAGCACGGGAACGAGCGAGATAGCGAGCATGAGTTTGGGGAGCAGAGAGGGCGAGCAGTGGCATGCGAACAGCGTTGGTGCAGCAGCGCAGCCAGCGCAGGGTGGACACACTGGAGCTTGCAGGCCTGCACTGCACCCCTGCACGTGTGGGTGTGAGCGCTGCAAAACGGCGCCTGGGCTCACATGCAGAAACGTGCAGAGGCGAGCAGGCAGCAACAACTACCTTGATGTATTGCATGCTATATCCAATGAACGACCATTCGAGGCAGGGCGGGGTGGGTGTGTGTGCACTGACGGGGAGGTGGAGCGCGTGCGCGAGGTGGTGCAGGGAGAAGGGCCAGAGGGCGAGGGTGTCCGCGAAGGTGGTCAGGAACGAATACACCTGCACGGGGTGGTGATGTGTGGAAGGGGGCGAGAGAAGGAGGTCGGGTTTGAGTTGATGCAGAAATGCCTTGGAGAAGAGAAAGGGGACAAGGGGAGTGGGTGGTAGATGCGATGGGAAGAAGAGGGCATGGCATGGAGGATGGGGAGTGGCTTATGAGCGTGTGAGATGATCAGTGGCGCGGGAAGTGAGAGGGGGCAAAATTATGGCTGGAGTGGACATGAGAGGAACTGTTAGGAGGTCGCAGGAGAGGAGAGGCTGCACACGCAGGGGAAAATGACGGGCAGCGAAGGGACGGATCGGCAGGAGAGAGGCGGGCAGGGGGGGCATGAAGCGAGGATGGCGGCGCACCATGAGGAGGTCGCTGACGGCTTGCGGGTTGCACGACCAGGGCGGGCAGGGCAGCACTGGGTGGCGGCGCACTGAGGCCGGGGGAAAGGGCGGCAGGTGCTCTGCGGGGCTCGGAGAGAGAGACGGGTGGGGGACAAACGGGATGGGCGGATGGGTGAGAGAGAAAAACGGTGAGGCGTGGGGGTGATTGAGAAAGAGCAGACGAGGAGGAAGAGGGACAACACGGGGTGGAGGAGAGAGAAATGGGGGGGGAGGGAGTAAAGGGTGTGGGATGGAATATTGTGAGTGCAAGGGCGAAAGGAGAGCAAGAGAGATGGGTGGGTGAAGGCAACTCACTGTTGAGCCCATCCATGTCCATGTCACCAGCACCACGCCCTTCCCTTGCCACCTTCTCCCTCTCACCATCCTCCCCTTCCCCTCTCTCGACCTCATACTCGCCCTCGCCACCCATGCCCTCCCCTCGCCCACCCCTGAGCGCCTCAGCAGCCATGACCAGCTCCAGCTGCCGGTCGTCCACCAGCTGCAGGGCCGCCCGCGCTGCCTGCCGCGCCTTGGCCCTCTCCGCCTGCTCTCGCTCCCTCGCTGCCTCCCGTGCCCGCCTCTGCTCCTCGCGCCGCTGCCGCCGCGCCACCTGCGTTGGGGCGGGGGGGTGGGGGGCAAGGAGGCAGAGTCCGAGGAACGGGGTGTGGAGAGAGAGGGGAAGGGGTGGAAACCAGAGGTGGTTGTGTGAGAGGGTTTTTATCACTGTAAAGGTTGCGGACCAGAAGGTGTCCGCAGCACCTGCCTCCCCCTCGTCCTACCTGCTTGCAGCTGTTGCCGTGCCGCTTCCCCTCCCTGTCCAACTGTCCTCTCATCTCATCCCCACCTCTTACTCTGGCGCAACTGAAAGGTTGGAGAGAGTGCAGGTGCAAGACACAAGGGATGGGCCACACACACACAACCAACACGACGCACGGAAGGGGGGTGTGACGAGGGGGAGGAGGGGAGGGGGAAGACGGGTGGGGGGTGTATCTGAGCGGGCAGGCGGCTCACCTGAATGCTCTTCTTCATTTGCTCCCGTGCCTGCCGCTCTTCCTCCCGCTTCTTCTCCCGAACCATCCTCTCCCTCTCCTTCTCCCGCTCCCGAGCCTCCCTCTCCTCCTCGCGCTGCCGCTCCCTCGCCTCCCTCGCTTGCTCCTTGTGCCTCTCCCGCTCCTCCCTCTCCTCCTCCCGCCGCCGCCGCTCCTCTGCCCGCCGTGCCGCCTCCTGCATCTGTTGCAGCAAGCATAGCATTAGCCAGCAGCACAGAAGCAGGTCAGTCAGAGGCGGCAACACCACAAAAGATGAACGACAATGGAACAAAACAACACGGAACACAAACTCTCCAAGCTTTACCCACCCTCACACCTTCCCCTCCCCTCCCCCCCCCCCCCCCCCCCCCCCCCCCTCTCCCTTCCCCATCCCCCGTCACTGCAGTGCCCCCAGCAGCCAGGGGAGCCCACCTTGCGTTGAGCCGTCTCCTGCCTCTCCGCCTCGCGCCTCACTCGCTTCTCCTGCTGCTGCTGCTCCTTGCGCACCCGCCCCTCCTCCCCCTGCTGGCCCCCCGCCACGCCACGCACACCACACAAGGCACCAGAGGGCACAGCGCGGGGGCAGGCATGCAGCCAGGCAGCGTACAGCGATGAGAACGAGGGAGGGTTGGCGGCCCCGAGGAAGCATGTTGGGGTGGCACGGCAGGGCATGGCATGGCATGGCATGGCATGATACAGCACTGCCCTCCCAGTGCCTCAACAGCACAGCACTAGAGTAGCTGTTTGGAAGGGCGGAGAAGCGGCCTTTGATGCCTGGCCCGCACCACACCCATGAAGCACAGGCTGGCACAGGCTGGCACAGGCTGGGCTGGCACAGGCTGGCACAGGCTGGCACACATGTGAGTGTGAGCCCAACGTGGGGGGAGTTAGCTACCCTGCAAGCAGCCCTGCTCACCTTCTTTCGCTTTGTGCCGCTCTGCTTCGCCCCATACCCTGCCAGCTCGCCTCGTTGTGACCCCTCCTCCCCCTCCTCGCCACTCCCCATGGTCCCTTGTGCCACCCCATCCCCGCCATCAAAGCCACCTGCCTGCCGTCGCCTCTTGTTCCCAGGCCTCTCCTCGCTTCCTCTCTCCCCACATTGCCCTGACTCCTCTTGCGAAGCCTCCTCCCCTTCCTCCTCCTCCTCCTCCTCCTCCTCTTCCTCCTCTTCTTCCTCCACCGGTTCAGCATCCCTACCCCCCACTCCCATCCCCCCGCCCTTCTTCCCTTCCCACAACCCTTCAACCCCTCCCTCTAACCCACCCACTAATCTCATACCACCGTTCTCCACACCTGTACCTCGCTTCCTCCCTCCGCATTCAAGTCCATTCGCGTGCCTGCCCTTCTCCACGCCTCTATTCCCGCGCACCACCATGCTCCCACCCGCTCCTCCTCTCCCCTTCTCCCCCACGCCATTCATCACACCCTTCCCTCTCCCAGCAGCAAAGCCCGGCGACCCCGAGGCAGCAGCGGTCAGCAGGTGCAGCAGATCCGCCCCCTCCTCCTCCCCACTGCCCTCCTCCTCTACCATCTCCACCTCCTCCTGCTCCTCCTGCTTCATCAGCCCTTCTCTGCCCGCCCTTCCTGCTGCCGCGTGGTGAAGCTGACCAGGTTGCGGACCACCACCAGCAGCAGCAGCAGTTGGTGACGGGTGTGAGGTCCCGTTGGCAGTGATGCCAGCAGGTGCGCCTGTGGCAGGGCGCAGGGCCTCATCGGCAGCGAGCTGCGGCCCACTGGCAGAGGCAGAGGCGGGCAGCGTGTGTGGCGGGTCCAGTGCGTGCAAGGGAGAGGCGCGCACTGCAGGGCGGGTTGCAGCGACACTGGACGCCTGCGGTGGGGCAGCGGGGTGCGCAACACAACGCACAGGGGATGCGGGGGAGGGAGGCGAGAAACAAAGGGGGTGGTGGGTGGGGACGCGAGAGGAAGGCGAGCAGGGGACGGGAGCGGTACGTGTGTAGGACCTTTGCTGTACCATCTCCCTTGTATGCATGTCGATCATTCATAGGAAGGAGGTTTCGAGAGAGGACGGACAGACGGACGGACGGACGGACGAGGCGAGGCAGGAGAGGAGAGTAGCAGGGAGGGATGAGAGAGAGCAACAGCGAGCCATGTCAACAAGGCCTTGGCCTCACCTCAGCTGTGCCTTGCTGCCCCTCCCCGCCCTGCCCTATCCCACCCTCCCCCACTTCGCCTTGTCCTCCCACCCCCTTCTCCTCATCATGCTCGCCTGCCCCCTGCTGCAGCTGGGCCGTGCCTGGCCCAACCCTCGCCTTGCGCACTGAACACACACACAGGCACGGTAGACAGGGCGAGGAGGAAAGCATCGGCGCAGAACCACATTGCAGCGATCATGACCATGATGCAAGGGGCATGTCAGGGGCGAGGTGACGTGAAGGGCGGCTCATAACTCAACATGGCATGGCAGGCAGGTGCGTGCACATGGGTGCAGGGTGGGTGGATGGGTCCTGTTATGGTGAAAAACGGCGGTTGCTGAAGCACACTGAAGCGGATCGGTCGAGACATGTTACCAAGGGCGAGGTTGAAGCGCAGAGCAGGCACGGGGTCAAACACGGCACTCAATGGCGGCCCTTCCACCCGGTACTCGCCTCCCATGCCCCTCCTCACCCTCTCCACCGCCTCCTCCTCCTCCTCCTCCTCCTCCTCCCCCTCCTCCTCCTCCTCCCCGCCTGCCACCCACTCCCCGCTCCCATCCTGCCTCCTCCAGCTACTCTGCTCATTCTGCCATGCCGCTGAGCTGGCAACAGCAGATTCGCCGTTGGCAGGGCCACGTGGCATGCTCGTTGCAGGGGGGTATGCGTCAAAAGACATCCCCTGCCCCCTGGCCTTCCACGCACCCCTTCCGCCCCGACTGTGCCTGCCGCTCCCCCTCCACCCGTGCCTGCTACCACGGCCGTCCCTGTTGCATTACAAGCCCCGCCAGCCACTGGCGCACGTGGCGCCTCTGTGCTGCCCTGCACTCCCTTCCCCCCTACCCCCCCTGCGCTCCCTGCGCCTTGTGCGCCCCCCCTGCCACTCCCAGCGACCCGGGGAGTGGTGCGTGCACATGCCACAGCACCACCACCCCCTGCACCTGGATCAACAGACCCGGTACCCAACGCTGCATGCCCCCCGCCAGCGCGCACAGCCCTGCTGTCCTGCTGCTCCTCCAGCTCCTCGTGCGCCATCAGCCCTGACAACCCCCCCGCCCCCCCCTCCCTCTGCGCCCTGCCCGCGCCCACCACTGACAGCTTCCGCACGCCCCCCCCCTGCCACCACACGTACCCTTCCCCCGCCCTCCCCTCGTCTCCCCTGCCAAACGCATCCGCAGAATCCGCAGGGTCAGGCGGGAGGGGCGCGGCGGGTACAGGCGCGGGGGCGAGGGGACGGCCAAAGAGGACGGGAGACGCGCCAGGGGGGGCGGGGAGAGTTTTTGCGGGGAGGGCGGGGATGCGGAACACGCCCGCACGCGCCGCCGCGGCGGGGGTTGCGTCCGCAGAAAGCGCGCGTCCCGCAAGTAGGCTGCTCACGCGCGCACCGCCCCCGGGCTGCTCTGCGCCCGCCTCCGCAATCGCATCGCCGCCCAGCCTAGGCGACGCTACTGACTCCGCGGCGTCGGATCCACCACCACCGCTGGCGGCGGCGGCGGCGGCGGCGGCGGCGGTGATGGAGAAAGGGGTGGTGAGAGCAGGTCGTGCGGGGCCTTGGCCCAGCGGGCCGGCGGTGCGCGGGAATGCGGTGGCGGGCGGCTTGGGCGCGGCGGAGGCGGAGGCGGCGGCGGAGTTTTCGAGGATGCGGTCCTTGCGGCGGCGGTGCGAGAACCACATCTGCAGCTGGCGGTCCGTGAGCGCCAGCTCCGCGCACAGCGACGCGCGCAGGTCGTCCGACGGGTACTTGTGCACTGCGCGGGGCGGATGGCGGGTGGCGGGGTACAGGAGGCGCGGAAGGGCGAGGAGAAACAAAGGTGATTTCTATGGTTGGCGGAGAATGATTCGCGAGTTGCTTGCATGTGACGAGGTGTCTCTAGTAGACGTGTCTGGTGGAACAAGAATCGCGACTACTCTCACCAAATGCCAAAATGTTTTCACTGGCTAAATGGATCCTACTGTGTAAAATACTGAGAGTAAGTTTGAAGAAGAAACAGAAGCTTGAGAGCGGCGAAAATAGACTGCGACGACGAGCGAGTATTACCAGCAAAGACCTCTTCCAATCTCTCCAGCTGCAGCGGCGTTTTGCGGATCTTCCTCTGCTTCCCGGACCCCGATAATTGGCTACTTGAATCGTCGCCGTCCATCGCGACTAATTTTTTCTACTCGCGACGTGCTGGTGGGATTGACGCTGGCTTAGCAAGCGTCAAAAGCGGGCCTATTTCGATAACTGCTCAGCAACTTGCATTCTTGCTTTCGCGAATATTCTCGTATAACAGCTTTACTTGAAGAGCTTCACTCTAAAAAACTTCTGCTCGCCATTTGGAGGCCTGTATGTGTGAAAAAGCGCAACTCCATTGCTGAAGTTGTGAAACCCTCGCCTGGAAAACAGAGCTTTGAGCATTTTGGTGATCAGAAGAGGCTGGATGAGAATGCATGAAGCGAGGGTTCTCGGCATCACAGCAGATTGGAATGAGAAGCACAACGAGCAGAGCGAGTTGGATGCAAAAGGCTGGTCAGGTTTGCCTGAATCATCTCATCTTCGCTATGTCCATCGACGGCTGTAATTCGTTGTTGATTTGCTTTTCAGCGCATCGTGGCCTCTGATTCAAATCCAAGCTTGATCTCGGCCGCTGATCTTCGAAATGCCCCAGCTTTCACCCTGATCACTCGTTCCGTTTGCACTGCTCCAACAACAACTGCGCGTCGCCGTTGGCCTGACTGACGGAACGGAACGAGAATGGCAGGACCAAACGACGACAACCCGAATGCACGCAAGCGATGCTCGTCGCTGGTAACCCGCTTCCATTCGGGCAGGATAATCGCGCGCCAGCTCAGGGTTGATGAAAGCCATCAAACATGTGATACGTGACGGGTGCATGGGGACGGCAATCGTGAAAACCTCGGAACAATCAGCAATGAGATGCTGGAACTTGGAAATTGTTCTGCTGGTGTGACACTCACAATTCTCAATCTGCTTGTGATACGAACCTGGTACGACTCGCAGTGCGTAATGTTTCCAGCAGTTTCGTCCTCACGTTGTTTGACGACGTTGCCCGCTTGTAATTCGTGTAATGCTGGCAGAAGTGGTACACCTCGGTACGCCACTCGCACAACATGCTCATCACACACTACGTAGACGATCATCTGGAAACCGCGTGTCCACTAAGCGACGACCATATCGACAAAGTTAGGTTTAGGAAGGCCGCATTCGCCACCGCATCAAGCCCTTGCACGCGGCCGCGCCGCGCCAATTCGAGAGGCCGCGCCGCGCTGTGCTGCCTCCTGGTCCTCGCCGCGGCACGGGAGTGTAAGGGAGTGAGGGCTAACACCGGAAACCGCCAGCATAGTAGGGCACAAAGAGAAGCTAGGCTTTCCCCTGCACTGTGATGTGAGTCGTCTCAGTATGTGGCCCTATTCTTCCCTTTTACAATGCCTGCCCAGGACTCCCAGTCTTCCGCTTCCAAACCCTTCCCATGCTCCCCTTTCCTTCCGGACCTACCCATATTTCCCTTCTCTTCTCGCCCTTCCGTTACCTCCCGTCCCTTTTAGCCCCACACTTTGTGGCATTGTCTTCCTGCCCTTCCTTTTTCCTTTTCTGCCCTCCGCTTCCTGCCGTTCCCTTCCTTCCCTCCGCTTCCTGCGCTTCCCTCACAGCGCGTCCCTTCCTGCGCTTCCCTCACAGCGCCTCCCTTCCTGCGCTTCCCTTCCCTCTCAGCCCACCATGGCGCTTGCCTTCTCGCGAGCATTCCTCTCGTCCAAGCCGCATCGTCTCGTTATCTCAATCCCCGCACCGCGTCCCGCATCATCCTCCGCAAATCTCGCTGCTGCTGACGCTGCAACAAAGCCACAGTCATTCTCTCTGCGGGGAGGAGCGGGTCTCCGCTCCCCCGCAGCCGCACAACCCGACGCTCGGACCGCCGCACCAGAAGCTGCCGTCTTAGCGCGTACCTCCGAGGGGCTAGGATTAGCTAGAGGCGCTAGAGTTGGTCGCTGCGCAACCGGCAAGCTTGAAGTGCGGTGGCGGAGATGGGGCAGAGGGAAAGGGGGGGCTGCAGCAGCACCGCGGACGATGCGTTGTGGCGGGCGGTGGGACAGTCCCGCACAGCCGCACGGAGTGCGCGGGGATGTGGCGTATGGGGGGTCCGTTATGGTGCATGTGATGCGTGGACGCCGGTTACCATGTTGTGTGCCATCCCTGTCGGCTGCACGCCTCGCGAATTCCGTGTCCGCGCCTGCCGCTGTGGGCGGTGGCGTCGATAGCACCCTTGGCGCCTACAGCAGCAGCGGCAGCGGCGGCAGCAGCGGCAGAAGCGGCAGCAGAGGCGGCAGCAGTGGTGGTGGCAGGTGTGAGGCCGAGGTGTCTGATCCACTACTGCAGGGCGTGCAGGTGAGGCCCATGGACCTTGCGATGAGATGGCATGGCATGGGATGGGATGGGATGGGATGGGATGGGATGGGATGGGATGGGATGGGATGGGATGGGATGGGATGGGATGGGATGGGATGGGATTGGATGGGATGGGATGGGATGGGATGGCACGGGATGGCATTGCATGGCATTAGACGAGGAAGGAGTGTTGAAACTAATTGTGAGACTTTCATTTCAGGCATCAGCGCGCATCCACATTGGTCAATCTGCTAGGTCCACACAGAGCCTTGGATCCTGCATTCCAATGTGCTCATGTCGCCTGCGTGCTCGTGTGTGTGCTGTGCTGTCTGGGGTTGGGGAATTGGATGGAAGTGGGTGGGGGCCTGGGGAAGGGGAGGGAGAGAAGCGGGGTGGTGGTGCGAGTGGGGGAGTAGAGCAGCGCGCAGCAGGGCGGGTGACGGGCGGGCAGGGTGCAAGGCATGATGGTGGTGATGCTCGGATTCATGCTGTGGAGGCTGGGGGCGCGAAGGAGGAGGAGGGGGAGATGGGAGGAGGAGGGGGGGGAGGAGGAGGGAGAGGAGGAGGGGGGAGG